TCGCGCCGAGAATTGCACAGACAGAAGTTAGTAAGATTGATTTCAGTAGCCACTTGTCTGGAAATACCGAAGACCAGAAACGGTTTTGAAAACGTTTGTCACGTAGTGATCGTCTTCTCAATAGAACATCTTTGATAATGTCTTCTGGCCAATCAGAATCAAGATAACGGCGTGGTGTTGTTGCAGGACGTGCCGACAGAGAATACTTTTGCTGTAGTACAGGGTAGCCTACAGGTAACACATAACTGGTACGCAGGTTATGTGCGTAATCTAAAATGCGTACCGTCACTTGTGTCACAAAGCGCATTTGCGTACCGACGTACTTGTGAAGCTTTTCCAGAAGGCGGTTAGATCACCGGACGACAGAGTCGGTCTCCGTGTGCACAGACAGGGCTGCTGTTAACGTCGGTCTGTACAAAGGAATTGTGCCAAAACTATGCCAACCGGCTGCCGAGGGAGACTCCCCCCCTTCACTGGAGAACTGCGCTAAAACAGCTGATCACAACGTTCACACTCTGTGGTCACGAAGTACTCCACTAGCCGCCCCCCCGTCGACTTTCCTGAAGTACTCCCCCGTTGATAGAAATCAACACGTAATGAATTAAGACCCCACGGTTTGATGATTGATAGGTGCTCTCTTTCATTTTGACACACATAATTTTTTTACAATAAACATGTTAAATAGATATATCCGCCTTCTTTCATTTATCTTTCCATTCCCACAACAATATACATAACGAAATGACATATTTTGGACATATGGACATATTCGAATGGTGATTAATCATGATTAATTAATTTTAAAGCTGTGATTAATCTGATTAAACATTTTAATCGTTTGACAGCCCTACTTTTTGTTGTTAAATGGTTAATAATAAAATACATTTTTGGAAAACAGATTAATCGAAGTTTAAAATACTGTTTACAGAAGATGCGAAAAGGTTGCTCTATAAATGCCCCAAATTAACCGCCATTCATTCACTTGTCTATGAAAAAATGGTTATTGATGTTTTTCGGCCTCCAAAAGACGAGACTGGCATTTGTAGGGGAGATTTAAAGGGCATTATACAACCCAGTCTCACGGGATTTTGTGTTATAGTCACGACATTTAATCTATTGATTCGTGTTCACCAACGCAATTTTCCCCTTTGTATTCGTGTCACACAGAACGATTTTAAACGCAATGTATTTCTATTGGTAGTAGGGGTGTAACGGTTCACAAACATTTCGGTTCGGTACGTACCTCGGTTTTTAGGTCACGGTTCGGTTCGCTACGTTTTCGGTACAGCAGAAAAAATTATCACAAAACATAAACTATTAGTTTTGGGTTTTTAATTATTATTAAACTGAATATTCACTCAAATAAATACAAAATATAATAAAATAAACATTAAGTTGCAGCATTTCGATGAACTGAAATAATGTATTTGAACTGCACTGTACTAGTACCTAAGCAGCCAGTTTGACATTAGGCTTGTCATTGTATTTTAACTTGTTGCTTGCCGAAAAGGCAGATCTGCTGGCACTAACAATGTCTCCTGCTGTGGAGAACACCCTCTCGCTAGGGACAGAGGTAGCAGATACAGCCAGATAGCACTTTGCTAACATGGCAACAGGATGTGTCCCAGCTGCCTTCAAACATGCCGTGGTCAAGCCACTACTTAAAAAGAAAAATCTTGACCCCTCCATTCTCGCAAATTTTAGGCCCATTTCCCAGCTACCTTTTTTATCAAAAGCCCTGGAGCGAGTAGTCTACGCCCAGCTGCAGTCTTTCTTAACCACGCATGGCATCCATGAAAAGTTTCAGTCTGGCTTTAAACCCATGCATAGTACTGAAACAGCCCTTTTAAGAGTTTTTAATGATCTGCTCCTAGCCACCGACTCAGGCAGCCCAGCTGTCTTGGTGCTGTTAGACCTGACCGCTGCCTTTGACACTGTGGACCATAGCATCCTGTTGTCACGGCTTGAACAGTCCGCAGGCATCACAGGCTCTGCCCTTGCATGGTTCAGGTCTTACCTGACAGACCGTAGCTTTTTAGTGCAGCTAGGTGCCTTCTCCTCTGCCAAAGCCCCTCTTACCTGTGGGGTCCCCCAAGGCTCAATTCTGGGCCCCATCCTCTTTTTACTGTACATACTGCCCCTAGGTTCAATCCTCACGAAACACAATATCCCCTTCCACTGCTACGCGGACGATGTACAGATCTATCTGCCTCTCAAAGCAAATGTCAACTCACTACAGCAGTTGATGGACTGCTTAACAGAGTTTAAATCCTGGCTGAGCAAAAACTTCCTCAACCTCAATGAGAGCAAGACCGAGGTAATCTTTTTTGGACCCCAACCTCTAGCTTCTCCGGTTGATATTCTGGGCTCCCTAAGTAAAAACATCCTCCCCTCTGTCTTGAACCTTGGAGTGACCTTTAATAGCACTTTTAAATTCGACAAGCAGGTCAGCACCGTAGTAAAATCCTGCTTTTTTAAAATAAGACTATTGGCCAAAACCAAGTCGTATTTATCTTTTAAAGACCTGGAAAGGGTTATTAACGCCTTTGTGACCTCAAGACTGGACTATTGTAACGCTTTGTATGTGGGTATGGACCAGGCATCAATTAAACGCCTGCAGCTAGTCCAAAACGCAGCTGCACGTCTCCTGACTGGCCACAAAAAGCGTGACCACATCACCCCAATTCTGGCCTCACTACACTGGCTTCCAGTCCGGTTCAGAATTGATTTTAAAATCCTTTTATTTGTATTTAAAGCACTAAATGGGTTGGCTCCGGCCTATATAGCTGAACTCCTCCATCGCTACACCCCAGCCAGAGCTTTAAGATCTGCTGACCAGCTGCTGCTGGTAGTACCTAAGACCAGGCTCAAAACCCGAGGGCACCGAGCCTTCGCAGCAGCTGGCCCCAGGCTCTGGAACACTCTTCCCCTCCATGTGAGGTCGGCCCAGACCCTAGGGGCTTTTAAATCCACACTGAAGACACACTACTTCTCTCTGGCCTTCTAGTTAGAGTGGGGTTACGACTCCTGACTGTTCCATGTGTTGTTTTTATCTGTTGTGATTTATTGTGATGTAATGTGTTTTTATGTGTTTAAATTACATGTACAGCACTTTGGCTCGACCACAATCGTTTTTAAATGTGCTCTACAAATAAAACTTGATTTGATTTGATTTGATATTTGGCGTTTGTAATAGCTTTGGCTCGGTCTGAACTTTTTGCGAGTGGTGGAGGCTTAAATGCTAGCGGGAGTTGGGTTTGCACTTCAGTCTTTTTTCTTTTGTTACCGGTGATATTCACGTTCGGTGATGCCTTTTCAAATGAGTGTGCAAGTTTGATGTATTGCCGCGTGTCATGTCAATTGCAGGTAAATGTTTAGTCTTCTCAAGCACCAACTATCAAATATCTCTCCTGATTGTTGGCACTTGACAATCACCTTCCCTGAATTTTACTCAGGTGTAACTAAAGTCTGCTTTAAGGGTTGTTTATATTTCACATAATTAATCAGAATCTGCAAAGTAACTCAAATAAATGTAGTGGAGTAAAAATACCAGGTTAACCTCTGAATTGTAGTGGAGTAGAATTACAAAGTAACAATGAGCTGTCATGTGGGTATATATTAATGCTGCGCATTATGGACACAAACGATTTTCACCTATTTATTAATTATATGTTTTACATTTGATAACACCATGTGTTTAATACTGGCAACTTCTAATTGTGGGAAAAACGAGAATAGAACATTTTGCGAAACACAATAGCCAGCATGTGTAGTTCTGGGGGGACGTTCGATTCCAGCTTTGGATAGTCTGGCGTGGTTTCGTTCCATTTCAAACAGCTGTTTGACGCTTGGCGTAACCTTGGCGCACTGCCACTCCAACATCCAATCCCAGAGCTTGAAGATTAATCACGGGGACAGTAGTCCTAAACGATAGCTGGTGATTATAGGTACTAGGTAGTGTAGTGTCTTCGGCCATCCTAAACTCAGAAATGTTTTTCGGATTTGATATGGCATTAACACCATATCCCTACATGCATTGCGGCTAAAACATCCAATCAGCGAGCTTAAACCATAGCTGAGGATCTTGGGTAATCAGTTCAGGCTGTGTATCGCAATGATGCTCGAAATGTCCCTTATAGGCCTACGTCTGTTTCCGGTTATTTTTATTTTGAAATTCAGTTCCTGACGGACGCCAAAAAAGCCTGAGATTATGGAATTAAACAAATAAATAAAAGCAAGGATAATTGTGTGTTATTGGTGAGTAAATAACAGTGTGTTATTTAGAAAAGAATAACAAATGAGAAGGAAAAAAATATTTTAAAAAATACATAAATAAATAAATGTCAGTATTCTGAGGCTCTGAGCCCCATTTATTTTCCTCACAGACGACAAAAAAAGTTCGACATTATGCGATTTAAAATAAAAACAATAATCGTGGCTTGATATTGAGTAAGAACATGTTTTTATGAACCCCACAGCTTCCGGTCTTCCAAGACCCAAACGGACAAAAAGACGTGCTGCAGGCACGAAACATACTACCAATAGAAATACATTTTAAAATCGTTCTGTGTGACACGAAAAAAAGCGGAAAATCGTGTTGGTGAACACGAATCAATAGATTAAATGTCGTGACTATAACACGAAATGCCGTGAGACTGGGTTGCATTATAATATGATGGATGGGCCGATTGAGATATGGCTGCAGATGCTGATAAGATAGCAGAACAGCAGAGCAGAGTCCTTACATTTTCTCAGATCAAACATGTGACTGAAAAGGTCTATGACAGGTGTCTCTGACAGCCCCGCGCTGCCTGTCCTCAATGTCACCTATCAGCACTATCTGATTAAAACTGGCCATCCACAGTCTCTCTTAGACCCAGGTATAAGACCTCGTTCTTTCTCTCCACGGACACCTGATCACACATGCATGCCAGCTCACACACACACTCATAAAAACAGACATGATTGCTGAGAGGGACAGTAGTGGGGGCATACAGTACCTTGTGTGTTGACTGGGTTGGTGGTGGGTGTGGGGATAGTAGTGGGAGCATCTAGATGAAAAGAGTAACAAATAAAGAACATGTATAAGAAATAAAGGAAGACAATTGTAAAGAAATAGACAAAAGTCATTGAAGATGAAAAACGATGTGACATGCAGAAGTTTTGGCTTCTCGGGTGAGATAATTTAAGACTGCTAGCACGACAAAGCTTTGAGCTAACACTAATGTCAGCATGCTACATGCTAACAATGTCAATGCTAACATGCTGATATTTGGCAGGTGTAATGTTTGTCTTTGCCACCATGTTAGCTTAATAAATTAGCATGGTAACATTTGCTAATCTGCACGAAAGTAAAGTAAAAGCTGAGGCTGATGGGAATGTCATTCGTTTTGCAGGTATTTGTAATGACCCATATATTGGACAAATTAAAAAAATATGACCTGATGGTGCCACTTAAGTAAAAGTCAGGGGATCACCAAGTTATTACAATTCATCCTGAGGGCAAGATAAATGTGTGAACCAATTTTCAACGCTATAAATTGAATAGTTGACAAGGTTTCTAGCTCAATACCAGAAATGTCTACCTCATGGTGGTGCTAGAGGGAGAGCATGGGGATCACCAAAGGTATTAGCCTTGATTCTCTGGAAACATCTGTGTGTGTTAAATGTCATAGCCAGCCGTTCAATAGTTGCGGTTGTTGGCATCCACCATCCTGCACACACTATACAGTAGCTTGGCTAACAACCCAATTAATACAAACACTCAGACTATATTGTGCTTAGGGTTTATTATATGTTATTATGAAGAGCTTTTTGTCATACATTTCTAATTAACTATGAGAACAAATATCTGGCAATTATGGAACGGTATTACTATTTTCCAGTCTCTCGCAATAATTAAGTCAAACTGCAAATTAAACCACTCTGGTGGTCTCCCGCTGCAGCACATCAGAGCCCCAAGCAGCATCCTCCGCCCCACACTGTACTGATTAGACCTGTTACTAAACCCCAAACAAAATAATCGGAAAGACAAAATGGAGGGCAATACAGGTATGCTACGGTACTAAGGAGGGCTGAAAGCTTTCTCATCAGGGGAATATATGCCTGGCTGTGGTGCAGGGGAAAGATAGCACGACCCCTTGCTGTGGGAGAGTCGCAGCAGGGGAATTGGCTGGCTGTCTCCATGCCTTTACTGTCTGCACTCCATCAAAAGACAGCAGTGGGGGACCACACACTCCCAAACTAATGATAAAACATCAAGGACAGCATAATGTTGCCGCTGGGGATGGAGTGTATGGCGGAGGTGGTGTTAATGGCGGTAGGGGGGTATCGGGGTATCAGGCAGAGATTCTCCTCTGACAGTATTTGAAGAGGGGGGGGGGTTAGATTTCTTTCCCTGTGACCAAAAGCAGTCTGATAGCTGAAATGTCAGTGTCTGGAAAAAAGGAAAATTGGCCATTCAGGAAAGAGGGTCTTCACAAAGGCCGGGATAGGATGTGGCACATATAATATCCAGGCGAACAAGAATTCTCCATGGGCAATTTCCAGCCCGAATGACTCTGGGCTCGGCATCATGAGGGCTGAAATATGAGTGTATTTTGGAGAAGCCATATTTTCAGGGAGCATTTGTATCAGAGAGAAATTTGATAAGAGAAAATGTAACCATAAAGTGAAACAATGTAGTAGAAATTGTTTATCTACGCCTGCTTAAACATGCCAACACGACAGCAGGGAAGATATTTGTTTTTGCTTTTGTCTATTTGTTGTCTCTTGCTTAAAAGTTTCACTTTAAATGGGGATTCTCAGAGGTTGTCTTCCAAAACAAAAATAAACATTTCTGTTTAAGAGATTGTTGTAGATTGCATTTATGAAAGAATAATCTACAAGCTGATGTGTTAATAGTCATTGCCCACTACGATGCACATTAGATGCTACAGTGTGATTCACAAGTACAGCTTCACAACAGCTTTCATGAGAACATGGAGACCCATTCATTCTGCTCATGTTATGTCAAAACTAAGGGTTTAAGTGTAAATCTGAAATAGTGAATATCAATGTTATCTTTTGTGATATTGTATACATTCTCATAAGCCATTGATTTTAAATGAATAATTTACATGTAAAGATTAGCTGAGTCAGTACTATTTATATAGCAAATGTACTGTAAGCACTCAATGTATTGTAAAGTAGTGCTTCAGTTTAATGTTTGATAGATGAGAATGCACATCCTACTGTTCTGATTGCACAAAAAAGTGAAATATATAAATAAATGATATATTATCAAACCGATAAATATATAATCCAGTTTCTCTAAAATAAGATTTAAGAACAGCAATTTATCGCAACATATTAAATTGTAACCACTGAATCTTGATAGTGGTGTTATTGTAAAATTAAATAAACAGCCCTTATAAAAACCCAGATCAATCTCTAATTTCAAGTGCTTTGGGATCTCTGACTTCACGTTCATGGAAGGTTTATGGGACGAAAAGTCAACTGTGGGCTAAACTGTGGTAGTAAAAGCACAATGCTCTCCCGCCAACAGGCAGCATATGAGTTATCGCACATAGTCACCTCTGAGAGAGACAGGCCTCTCTCCGGTCAGCTCTCTCCCACACCACACACCAGCCGGGGGGGGGAACAATTCACAGCCTGATGCAGACACACCCACGTGGAAAACAGCATGACAAGCCTCTTTCTCAGCCTTTCGACCGGCCACATACAATACACACACCACAAAAGGACCTGATTTGATGTGGATTTACATCGGCTGCCCACCTGTCCGGGCTGTCAGACAGTGAAAGGTCATTAGTCCTTTTGAAATAGGAAGAGCCTGAAGGACTAGCAGCAGTGGAGGTTGGCAGAAAGCTGAAGGAGAATTGATGGACGATTCAGCTTGGCTCTATCAATAATGGTCACAAGCATATTTATCAAGAACAAAAACAACTTATTAAAATAAAGGTATCTGTGGCGTGCAGTTGGTTAGACAAAATGCTTTCTGTTGACAGGAGTGTGATAGTTTTAGCAGGAGCAAGACAAACAGTAAAAAAGCTAGATAAGAGAAGAAATGTGTTACTTTGTAATTATTAGTTGGTTGGGTAGCAGTGTTGAACGGTTTGAAGTCATGAGAAATAGTACAAGTTTCTATTGCTGACCAAATTATCCTGCACAAACGCACACTAATTAAACTACTGTAGCAGGCATGATTAGTCTGGGGCTACAAACCCTCACATGGACCACAACATGATTTTGTCTGGCATTAAATCCTCCAGAAAAGAGGAGTGGGAGTCGCAGACATAATTATACATGGTTATGAGCACCTTTTACCAATCTCCTGTGTCTCATTACAGCGAGCTGAAGTCATCGCGTTCGTACACCAGAGAAAACGTGTTTAATGGACATTTTTAAATATGTGTATAGGAAGTTACTAATTGAAGATGTCATAGCCAAAGGCACAAACACTTAAAGCAAATATAATGTAGGTAGAATGAATAGTTGGTGTTTAATTCTTAACCAGATAACATACTGTATGCCTCCCATTGTTTTTCATTATTGTATGCAAGTGTTAGGGGCACACCATGAATCAAGTTATGCATTAATTTAACAGCAGTAGCCACATCATTCATGCTCTCAAATGCCCATAGGCAATTTGTTAAAAACTATTAAATATTATATTATAATTTAAATGATTTGTGATAGTAACACAAAATTAATTTATAAAAACACCATGTTCAATCTCAGTTTCAAAATAATCTTTACACAACAATTGCGATTTAAGTCTTTAAGAGATGGCTATTAAGTCTGCCTTGAGTGAGCTATTTTTCGGCATATGCCGTCCTTTTGTTTGGAAGTGATTATTATGGGTCCATTGGGAACAAGCAGATGCCATCATCTGCCTGGCAAAGCACAATGATGAATAACCATGTGGTGGCAGAGAGTCACAGGAACCCTATGTCACAGGCACAAAGTCACACATGTCAGCTGGTGTAATAAACACATAAACATCAGACATATGACAGTGTGAAAATATATTCATGCGTTTGACTTTTTCCATGAAATAGAAAAAAATGTGGCTATGAAAATTCTGGACTCCAGGGATAGTTTTAATGCCTTTCCACTAAATCTTAGGAGGCACGTTTTTGTAAGTCTTCAAGTGTAGAAATGCAGTCCTAGGTAACTCTTACAGAGTAAAATAAAAACTGCATTAGTCCTGCAACAACACTCCCTTCCTTATTTTTCTTCTGACATGTTTTCAGACACCTCTGCTTTCAACCATGCCCCTCCGTTTAAATTAGATTTACTGCCTGTGAAATTGAATTAAGGTTTAGACTATTATGAATGCATTCATTTCCACAAGTAAAGATGTTTCAGTAACTGCCATACATTTGCCTGTCAAACAAAAATAAAATGTTAATTTATTTTCTTCCAACAGTTCAGGTTTGTTGCATGGGATCACATAAATGAGAACAATGAGCTGTTAGCCAGCTTAATCAATCCTTGCTGATTGGGGAACATGCAAAATAGAAACAATTATTGTTGTATTTGTAATAATGACTAATTCAATATTTAATTTAGACGTGTAAAAACACTGAATAACACTGCTTTGAGTAATTACAAGTGGATGATGTGTTTTTGACAAACACATTTTTGAGCACCTTGGAGTTGCCATGATTGAAAAGACTATTAGAGATAAACACTATTTTTTTTAAATGACTTGTCTTGACTTTATTTTACATGAGGCTTGGCAAGTAACAAATACTTTGAAGTAAAACAATTTGTAGCATAGAAATGTATTTTTTTCATATTACTTGACAGTCTTTACAGCAGATTCACCCTTCCTGGTTTTGGTATGGTCACTGTCAAACAATGTTCTTGGCACACAAGCAGAGACAAATTGATACTTGGGAGCAAAATACAAAATATTCTTCTAAACAGCAGGGAGCAAGCGCTTCAAGGAGAGTATTCTGCTCCACAACAATGGCTGCACCTGCTGCAATTTATTTCCCCCTACTTCTCATCACCCCTGCCAGCCACCAAAAACAGGAAATTAAGGTCCAAGGAGTGTGTACTTCACTGACGTCACTGATGATTTCAAAACTTCAAACAGTCCCCCCCTGCTGTTCCCCCCTGGGGATTGAAGTGAAAAGATGCCTGTTGCATCTTTAAACAGTCAGGTTTACTTTCAAAAAAGTTATACATATTTCAGATTATGTGATTGCAGTCGAAGTGATTACACTCACTTTTTAGTTGTGTTGTGCGTTAAATTAATGTTGTTTAAAGCAGCGGTTTTCAAAGTGTGAGGCGCGCCTCCCTGGGGGGGCGCCAGAGAGCTTCAGGGGAGGCGCAGCGGGAGAAAAAAAATAACGAGAAAAAGACGTGTAAAGTGTCACTTTCACACTTTTAGCTGTCTGTGGAGACCGAGTTCCCCCACCTCGCCAAAAAGGCTGTAAAAGTGCTCATTCCATTCACCTCCACCCAGGGGCAGACTGGCCATCTGTGTGTTCTGGAGAATCACAGAACGGCCGGCTCGGTTCGCTGACGGCCGGCACAGCCCTTTATTTTTTATGTTTTTAAACGGCATCATTTAAGTTGCGCTGACAGGCGACAGAAGTCCGTTCAGCGGGCCGTTTCCACACAGCGAGGCGTGTTGCCGGGAGCAACACACTGAGCATATAAGGATTTATCCACGATGTTGAAAATGTAAAAAAAAAAAGGTTTAAAAAAGTTATTGTTTAATGTTTTAAGGAGGTGACGCTACTCAGCCAATCAAATCGGTGTAGTCAGTGAGTCAGCACGATAGATTCAAACACACACAGAGACGAGACAAGAAGAGAGAAACAGCAGTGAGTCATTTAAATGACATGCTCAAAAAAGAGAAAGGTAGACAGCGAAAACAGAGCATTTAATTAAATGTTCTCTTACTGGACCTCTTTGAAATGCAATTGAATACCCCTGCATTATAGCAACAATAATTTACAATAATTGGGAGGGGGGCCACGGCTGTTCTCTAAGAGGAGGCTCACCTTCCCACACTTTGAAAACCCCTGGTTTAAAGGATTCTGATGTGTTGAACACAAACAAGGAAATCACAACAAAGACATGCTGTGTCATGAGTCATGACTGACAGTCATGTTAGAGTAAAACAAGAAATAAGATAAGTGAGGAGACATTCATAGTAGTCGCTGCATTTGAGGTTCAAACTGAGGGGAATATACTGTCTGCTGCATTTAAAGTCAAGTCCTGGGGGAGATGGTCCCTTTATTGCCCTTTACTGGTTGGCTGCAGAACACATTGGAATTCTACCCACCTCGATTATGTCAACAGAACCAAACCACATTTTTACGGCAGACATCTAGTGTTCAATTTTTTATATGAGACCAAATAGTCAAACGCATTTGTGTTGCTATGTTCAGGAATGGTTTGAGATTTGGGTCCTTTCTTGCCAAGAGTTACATGAGAAGATTGACACTGCTCTCATGTCTGGACTTGAAATATAAAGCTGCAGCCAGCAGGCAAAAGTGGCTTAGCTTAGCATAAAGTGTAAAAAACCATTGGGAAACATCTAGCATGACACCTCTAAAAAACACATTTATAAATATGTTGTTTGTTTAATGGTTTCTTGGGCACAAATTGGTTCTGCTGAATGACAGCATACAATATGACAATATCAGCATACAAAATCAAATCTGCTGGGTTTTAACATGCTGTCAAAAGTTAAAATCCACTTTATCCATGACTTTGTATTGTATACGGTTCAAACTCATCAAACATTAAAAGTAAAGCAGCAGCTCAAATCTTCAACGTACATTTGGAGCTCTCTGGATTTGTCAACAGCACCTACTGTGACTTCAAGCTTCCTGTTCCTCTCAATAATGCCTTGCATCTTATTACATTTCAAATGTGATTCTGTTTGTTGCACAAACGCTGTAGTAAATCCTGATAGTGTAGTTCCAATGCAATCCCTCGACTGCCAAAGCTACTGTAGGCAGTTAGGTATATAAACCTTTCTATATCAGCAATACAGATTGAATCCTAGTGTAAAAGAGTGATGATGGCATTTAGACATCAAGTGCGATAAAGCTTAACACATACCATATACGTAGAGGATGTAGTCATCGTAGGCCTCTCCCACAGCATTGGACGCCACGCAGCGATAGGTGCCGTTGTAAGACTTGTTGAGGTTTTCGATGTACAGATCAGAGCCGGTGACCACAGCATGAGGCGGCACATCGTCGTCTACTCTCAGCCAGTTGATCTGATGGGGACTGGAGAGCACAAATACCACAGACATCACTCAGACGCTGTCAATCCATGCTAGAAAACGGCAATAAAGGTCAAATCTGAGATATGCTAAGAAGAAGGCCATCGACGGGCCCTGTTTAATGATGTATTTGAAACAGCATGCATACAACTGCTAACATTTAAATGGCTCAAGGAAATGTGAAGGTTAAGGTCCATAACCAGACTTGCAGAAAGGACAAGAGTTTTTCTTGAAGTGTTGAGGTGCGTCCATCTGGGTGAACACTCACTGTGGTTTTCCTTCAGCAATACATGTCAAATCTAGATTATCACCCTCTCTGGTTAAGCCGTCAGGATATGACACCACAATCTTCACTTCTGGTTTATCTGAAAATAAAAGATGAGCATTCACAATACTCAATTAGTATCAAGTTATAAAACCGGCTTTTCCTGCAATACAGTCAAAGCTAAAGTTACCAGCCGAAGGTACACACAAAGGATGATGAAATGATTATCCTACATGCTCAGTAGACATCCAATGAGTATACAGTAACTGTTTTCTCTCTTCTTATCAATGCTAGCCAAAGATGACCAAAATGTCAAGACGTTTCAGTCAAGCTTTTTCTTTTTCTATGAAAGGTCAGACGAAACAGTGGTCTGTCTGAAAATAAATTAATATTCTACAAAGACTACAAAAGGGTACCATAACCTTTCTTTGATGTTTAACAATGTAAGGCTGCCTGTATTAACTATCCAATCGATTCACCATTTAAAGAATACATAAACATCATCTGACACCTGAGCAAAAGTGTGTATCCCTCGTGGTGACTGTATCGTGGGCTAAGGTATTTGTGGCCATATTCACGATTCCAGGTGAATACTTTTCATATTTACTTTAAATGAAGCTTAAGAAATTATTTATTTGAAAAACATGTGTTTGTCTTCAAGAAAAACTTAAACTGTCTTAGCCCCCTGACTTAAAGATGAACTTCAAAGGAGATCTTTTTTGATAATCACAAAACAGATCATCACATTCTTGTTCCCGTATTAATAAAAAATGCAATTTTCTGCTGGAAACAAGTTCATAGCTATTACGTTTTTCGTCTTTAAAAGCTAAATATTTTTGACTGTCTAAGCAGCATAAAGGTGCTAATAACCGTCAAAGGATGTTGAAGTTATGTTAACTGTGTCGCCCAAGTTTTCCTAATTTGACTGCAGAAAGTTATACATTTCTGTAAATGTTTTAATAATTGTATAAGTATTTAACCTAATTCTGTTTATTATTGCTAGTGATTGGCACCTATTTGAATGTTTGTAGTAGGCTTTTGAGCCCTGACAATAAGTACTTTATCCCCCAAACAGCCCATAGAAAGATAGAGAAAGTATGTAGTCTATGGGGCCTACACTGTAGGTGTTTTGGGCTTGAAAACACATTTAGGTCACTCACATAGCACTTCCAAATGTCGTTGAGCCAGGAGGTCCTTTACAGCTGGATGGTCAATGATGCAGTCCACTGGCACTCCATCATCCTCTTTTGTGACAGAAAATCTCACCCGGCTGGTGACAGTAAACATCCTGTCATACGTCTCCTCAACTGTTGTCTCACCTAGAGAAATGAGCACAAGATGGGGAAAAAAGTTAATGGCTTAACAGCTCAAAAACAAATATCAGATCCTGCAGCTGCACAAACTCGCAGTGACCATAATGAGCAAATACTCATAGCTATTAAGAGCACATGACCTGTCAAAGTGGAGTGTTTTCAGATGGCATTTACATTTAATTTATGATTCAGTAATGCAGCGCCCGAACGATACTTTAGGATTCTGACTGGCCCAAGGCCTGTGATTTTGATGAGAGCAGTGAGGAGTGGCTGGGTCATATAAGCCTGATAATGAATGCCTCTGCAGCTCGAGGGTTGAGCATTGTTGGGGCTAACCCTGCAGTAATCTGCTGCCCACTAGGCCTCAGGCTGTCAGAGGGGCATTCATTTAGAGAGCATTACAATGCCACAGGGGCATCACATTAGCTGCAGTGCTGAGTGTGATGGTTTACTCGCACTTAATGAAGTGAGGAAATAATTACAGCCCCACTCTGACCTGCAGCACACTTCCATTTCAGCCTTGTCACAAGGGAGCCTGGCTGGACTCAGAGAGGGCAGAGCACTGTTGTTCCACGGTTGATGATCACCAATACACACATATGTGGCCTCTTGATGCATATTAACCCGGTGTAACATAAGCCCAGCCACCCAAGACCAGCCTCTATAAAATGTAAAGTACTAGCATTACATACTGCCAACTGTGGTGAGAAAACAGGCTGTTTGAAGAGCACTCTGACTGTTAGAGGAGAGAAAGCAACATTATCATTACTAGAGGAGTACTTGGAGAGTGCAGACCTCCATCAAGGCCGTTTCTAGTGGAAAAATAATTATTATTTCACCCATTTCACCTCATCCACTAACTTTCATAAAAAGTAATTTTTCTGTAATCAGGAAACAGCGGTAATATACATTCTGACAGTGATTGTAATACATGAAAACGAATGGCAACTGACTGGCAAACAGTACATTTATAAACAGGGGTGCACATAACTTTTTTGCCCTGGTTCTCAAAGGAGCACCTGGAGATGTTGCTTGGTGCTCATCCTTAAAATGAAATAAACCGTAACTTTGGAGGGGGTCTTGACTTTATTTGCCAGACACACGGCACTAAACACACATGCAGAGGTGAACACAGAACACACATGCAGAGGTGAACACAAGACAACATTAGCACGACCAGTAATCCTACAAGCATCACTACCCTCCTGACTGTTCTCCTCACTGTCTTCCTCTCTGTCAGACATGGTAGCTGATGATGTAGGCCTACTTTCTCTCTGGTTGAGTCTGCGATTAGCTGCTTGCATCCACAAGTCAACAGCTGGGTTTGGGTCGAAAGTCTCTGTTGTCATCTTAGACAAGTGGATGTAATCAAATAAGTATGTGAACATAACCAATAACCTACCATAGCCAATAACAAATGAATGTAACTTATTTTATTTGTGTTGTTCATTCATATCTTATTTTACCTTAACATTTATTTATTTATGCATTTTTTTTTATCTTTCCAGTTTTAAAGGATATTTTTGGTTACTGTCCTATAGTATACATTGGAATGATTTCAAACCTGTTTATCCCAATAATTATAAAGGAGTGCCTTGAAAATGTGTGTTTACATAAATTGTGACCAAACCGTTTGAACTTAGACTAAAGTGAACTATCTAAACACTCTGAGTCCTTTACCTCACTGAGCTGTAGTTATCAGCCTCTCAGTCTGACTGGAGAGGACTCTCCCTCCACATCATTGTAGAAACATCTTCTTCTTATATCCGTTAGAGCAGCTAGCATCAGATTCTAATAACAACAGCGCCGGAACCGGTGCACCCTCCCTCGCTCCCCGCTCACTCGCACTTTGGCTGTGAGTGCCAGAAAAGACAACATCCCCCATTTTCATCACTTACAGCGCCCATCGTACAGGGCAAATGAAACGTGTAACCGGGGTGAAAAGGGTGTTAAATTTACTTAATTATGAATATTGTTACATCAAGGCCGAAAATTAGGATGAGCCCCAACGGTCAAAAATGTTTTTTTCCCTCCCAGAGCAGCGCCTCCCCAGATCTGGCGCCCTAGGCGAACATCTATAACGCCAGTGCTACGGGCCGGCCCTGAGTTCATATCATATAGACTGTATATATATGCAACTCGCAAATATCTTTATCTTTCTCTCTCTCCTCTCTTCTCTCTCTCCTCTCTCTCTCTCAATGTTGGTACGCAAATGCGCCTTTTTTCAAATGACCCGGTGCTCTTTTTTTGGCGGAGGTCCGCATGCGCACCTGCGCACCAGTTATGTGCAGCCCTGTTTATAAACACAGGCTATAGGACGTACTGTAGGTCTAAAAATCGAGTGATATATATTGCTTTGCCCCATGTGAGTTGTTAACTAAAGCTTTTTAGGTGATTTCACTTCACTACAGTGAGTTAATCCCTACCATCTTTAGTTAAAGTGGAGAGCGGTGATCACAGAACAATGGCCTCTTGTTCCTTGCCAAAAAACAACACACATTTCACAATAAGAGCTCTATTGTCATCATGCAATCACAAAGACTAAACGCTGCACTAGGTCACATTAGTAAGGTCAATGGGGGCGTTTCCAAAAGCACCTGCGCCAATGAACTGTGTGAAGAGAAGAATGATTTAGAAGAGTGAGATAATGAGTCATTATCCTCTCACACATTCACAGTAATTGTCTCATATTAATCCGAGTGCTACTTTACTAAAAATGGCTCGGGAACAGACGGTAAAGAGAACATGTGGTAGGCTTGGATGAAATGTGGAAATCATTATCACAATACTAGCATGGATATTTTCAATATTTATATTTTTGGAAAGCTCCATGTTTTGTCATTATATGGCAAATCAAAAATAATCAAAGTGATATTCAAACAATAAACTGTTATGAATAAAAATAAGAAAGCAATATCTTTATATATCCAACAAAAGCTAGATTTGTCAGCATTATCTTTAAGTTCTCATTAGATGAGAGCTGTTTTATGATTGTTTGATTGAAAGTGGACCTATCATGCTATTTGTAGGTCTCAGATATATAAAAATATATAAAAAACATGTCTATGTGTTCAAAATACCAAACAGATCACCCATTCTAGCCATGCTTCATATCCCTCTATTTCACTTCCTGTTTCAAAAGTGCTGATTTTGGGTATAAAGCTTTAAGAAAAGAAAAATTGATAACAAATATAAAAGGAGGGGGCTGAGCTCATGCGGGACCCGGCAGCTACTGTCTAAACTAAATACTGCCTTGATGAAACGCCATATCATGGATTATTACAAGGAGAATTTTTTTTCTCAAAATTGCACCATCCTGCCTTGGAGTACCTTGTCTGCATGATAAGGTAGAACGGTCCCATGATGTTGTGGCATCGTGCAAAATACCAAAGGGACTGACAAAACACATTTCAAGGTCAGGAAAAGCCTCCACTCGTCTCCGCGGTGCTATGAAAAAGGATTCTTCAATTTGACTTCCTCTAGTGTCAATTATTTTGGGTCATGATTCTTTTTTTTGAATATAAAAAACTTTTGAAAACCTTTGAAAGTCCTAAGTATTGTTTCGAAGATCAGACTCATACGGACAGAGCCATTTACAGTGTTCAGGCTAACCAACACTTGTCAATTATCAGTGTCATCCAAGCCAAGATGAGGAAAACAACTGTGGATCAGGTCGCGCAAGGACTCGAATCTGAATGCAGAGGAGATTTGAGTGGTGCAGCAGAGATGTCAAATCAAACGCTCTTGTGAGCATCAACCAGTGATCAATCCCAGCGCAATCAAGCGTAGCCTCTTGTCAGGGTGACATTTTCTTTCAGTCAGTTTCATATCGACTCATCTGCCTGCCAACGCACCGTAAAGCAGCCACTGATCAAGCTACTTAAAATTAGCTTCAACATCAAGAAATATCGGTGTAGATGCTAAACTCGCCCCTCGGTCTGTGACCACAATTGTTTCAATATGTAAAATATGTTTCTTATAATTGAGTGTAAAATAAAACTTAAATTATAGAGTACAGTATGTGCATCGAATTTTAGGCAACTTAAAATGTGGAGTGCATTTTATTAATGGACATTTGTAAAAGTGACATTTTCACTACGTAAAAACTAAGTTAAAATAAAAAATTCTGATTTAATAATCTCCTGCATGCAGTTCCACGTGTACAGATTTGAAGCAACCTCCTCATGCTCTGGAGCAGCAGTAGCCGCAGAGCACCAGGCTCCACTACATTTAAATAATATTGCAGCTGTCAAATATGCTAACAAGCATTTTGCCACCTTCTGTGTTGGGTCTCTCTCAGGCTGGAGCCCAAAAGTCCCCTACCTGCCAGCATGACAAATGGTTGCAAAACCAATTCACTCAATTTGAAAGTGTGTTTAAATCAGCCTGCAAATGTCTTTAATGCTATTATGGCTGTCTTGCCGGCACACGGACGTAAGACAAACTTGACCTCAAAGTTTCTATAAAACCAGTGTGATGTATTCCTTTTAATCTCAATGCGTGTTGGAGCTAATGAATTGTTTAGCACGTCTATAATGAGTAGTGATTTGTGTTTCCTGGGGTACAGGAGGACGTGACTCTCTGGCTCTCTTTATGTATCCACTGCCACTATGGATTAGCCCCGCTCAGCATGTCAGTGGCATTTCACGGATCTAACCATCCTGTTGTCTCTCCCTCCTCCCGCACAACACTCGACAACTCATAAACAGAAATTGACTTCGACTGCTGTAGGGAACACTGGAGGCACAGATGGCATTTAGCTTCAGATTCACTCTTGTATAAATATTTCATCTCTCAACAAGCCAAATGAATCCACTCCATTCTAATACATATATAATTTGACAACAAGCCCAGATACATCCACTCTGTGTAAATACGATAGGACTAAAATGAATATCCCCCATTACTGTACAATAAGTATATGATGAATTATTGATGACTCCCTAATCATAACTGAGAGATAATAAGGATTTTTTTACCACCCCAGATTATATACCACTCTTTGTAACAGTTTACAGCCGACTGACGGCTCTGAAATGAAGATTAAATACTTCACAAAATACACAAAATACTTCACAACCATCTTTTCCGTTTATATTAAATGAACATTTTAAATAGGAAGGACTTAGGGTTGTCTTTAAACATATAAATAAATCAGCAATCAATACCAAATGTTTACTAGAAATATTCAAGCATATTTAAATCCAAGCTAAAAACTTTGAAATCAAAATGAGTGCCTTTTGGGAAAACATGTTTGTAAAATGTATATGAAACATAATATAGGCCTGGATTGCAGCTTCTGCAGTTGTGGATGCAGAGTTTGATCATTACTGTACAGACCATAGCTGAGCAAGTAGCAAGGTACACATGGGTAAAAGTAAATAAAGAGAGAGAGAAAGCAGTACATGCCAAGCATGATTAGTTTCCGAGGTATTTCCTACACAAACCGGTAATACAATCAGTACAACACACATTAATGTTTTAGAGGAAAACTCCATTTTGTTCACAGAGGAAGCGTCTCAAGAGAACGGGACATGGAGGGAAGTGGACAGGCCTGGAGCTTGTGAAGCAAACTGGGGGAGGCTGTTATTCTACTGACCTGTCAGTTCTTCCTCCCCTTTCATCCATCTGATGGAGGCAGCTGGCTTGCTGCCCATGGCTGTGCAGGTGAGCTCCGTCTCGTTCCCCTCGCTGACCACATCTTCCCGGCTCTCGATGATTGGGTTGCCTGGAGGGACTGACCCACGGCAAAAGTCAGAATTACAAACAGCAGGACAACATTTATAGACACACACATTTGGTGGCTTTTGATGATTGTTTAAGTAATGTGTGGATTCCTGCATCAACAAATGATGAACTCACAACGAACTCTCAACACCTCTTTGAGAAATACCTTTACTGAGTTTTACAAATAATAATGGTAATTTTCATGAATGATATGACATTGCTTGAAGAAACACAAGTGCAGGTAACTTGCGAGAATTGGTGATCTCATGTTTGTCTTAATTACGCTAAACAGTAAAAGTATTGGATAGTTAGTGTGAACTGGCTACTGCTGGATTTTCTTGAGACACAAACAAGGGCCGCTGGCGCTGGGTAACGCAACATGTATCTTTGAGAGTACTGTTCTGATTTCAGAGAGACTGATCAGATGCATGGGTCGTCTGGAATTGTAATTTCCTACCGGACCAGGATCAATTCAAAGTGTAATGAAGTGACTTTGCAATTATTTTCCTGTCTCAACATTTAGTTAACTCAAGAGTTAAGTTAGCTGAGTTCTGGTCCCGACTTTGGCCTTTTTGCTGCATGTCGTCCCTTCTCTTTTCTGCTGTTTTCCTGTCTATCTTCAGCTGTCCATCCAAGAAAAAGGCAAAGAAGCTCTCTAACTCAGTTTGGATCAAAGTGGTGGATCGACAGACCACATCTCACAATTATGACAAACTCACTTTCTCATTGTTGAGCTAAACAAATTCATAATACAAACATTCAATCAATAGATTTAATCAATATGAGTTGAACCCTTATTAGAATCTGTTACCCAACACTCTGAGCCAAAGTTATTTTGTGTAAGTACATGTGATTACATCCTGCAAGGGTTCAATATTAAATATACAGAAAGTAGGATAAGGCACAATTGTCCCTTACATCAGTCATTGCAACAAACTAGCTGAACTCCAGTTACTTGAAAGCAAAAAGTCAGCGGGGTGCTCATTTCAAGGACTCTTTAATGCAACCCTTGGTTCACAAAATGTAGCTAGGCTTCAATTGTACAACTAGAGTAATTACTTTAAAGTGCTTTTAATTCCTTTCAATCCCCCAGGATGTCTGCATGTATAATAAAGCTTAACTAGAGTATTTTCACTCCAAAGCATCAAAGTGTGGCACAGCTGACTCTCAATAGGGACTCGTTTGGAGCAGCCAAGTCAACATTCACCGGGATTCACAGAGTCAACACAGCTGCCAAAACCAACGTGGTCTGAGCCATCGGTTTCAGCATCTGCTCCTTTTCGTTATGCTGTTGAGCCCCGCAAGAGCCTAATTGGCTGACATTTTGTTTCAGTTGCTAAAGATAACAGGATAAAAGATTACTATTATTTCATGTCCCCGCTCTATACAGTAGCATAGCGAAATACATTACAAATGTGTGTGATGAGCTGGGTGATGGGTGCTTGTGAGGTTCACTTATGAAACCTCACACCTACCCAGGACAGTGATGTCTGCGTAGGCTTCCTGAGGAGGATCTGTGTAGAGCTGGCACACATAGCGTCCCTCATCCGAGAGTGACACATTGGACAGAGACACCCGCAGTTCATTGTCAGAGAAATTCACCAGCTGGAACCGGCTGTCCTTCAGAGCTGTGGGGATACATGTGAGACAGAGACAGTGAGGATACAGAGTACAGGGACACAGACGTGAGACATGTGGTGAGAAAGGAAGAGGGGGTGAGAATGAAAGATTGGATGGAGAGAGACAAAGGAGATGAAAGAGGAGAATGAGATATGGAGAGGGGGGAGAAGGGGGCAAGAGAGCCTTTTGTGGGCTTTCTCTTTAATTGAGTAAAAGAAAAGTGAACTTCAAAATGATTCATACAAGTTGATTTATAAAGAAGCTTTACAGTTCACAGAGCACTCGCTAAGACAGGAAAGTGTGAAGAGTGCTCATGAGGACTCCTAACAAGCTAGGATCTCTTAAAGTGGGCTGCTGCTGGTCATGGATGAATGCAGCAAACTCACATATTCCAGAAAACAGGGAGCATTCAAACATACATAATGAATTAAATCACAGAGCCGAGGTAGAGAGGGTTGGATGCTTGAAACTTTAAATCAGAAGTAGCTGGGAATCTGTATACTAATGCCGATATAGATTGGCTGAATTGTATTGTAATGTGGTAAAACTAGGTTAGCCATCTCTTTCAGATATTTTACTCTGCTTTTCAATTGAGTCAGCCTTCATCTCCAAGCACTCTTTTACATAAACAGCTCTGGTTGATTTGATTTGGAGCTCTTTTGATGTTTTGACCTGCCTTCTTTATCAAGTCCTCGTCACATCTTTAAGCTAACAAACTGTATTCAGGCCCTGTTTAAAGCACAGGGAGGTTGTTATTCCCCTAAGGCTTTACACTTAGCATCATCATCATCATTACCCAAGGTATCGGGCCAGTGTCAACATGAAACCTCATCCCGGTATAATTTGAGAGCTCTTTGGAAGTCTCTCCTCAAAGGGAAACAATGACACTGATGCACTTTGAGAGCCAGAGCACCTGCTAAGGAGGGAAACCCTTCACTTCGGGGACGCTCGATCAAGTTTATACGTGGCAGTTTTATAATCGGCTGAATGCTTACATAAGAGCATAGTCTGGTATTCATTAGTCAGGGTTAAGGCATATTGTTCAAGATATTTATACATATAAGGGTTGCAACCAAATGTAGTGATTACTTATATTAAGGCCCGGACACACCAATCTGACAACAAAGAACTGACACAGACGGACACCGACTGTTGTGTCGCCTCGCGTCTCTGCATTTTGGCCATGTGTCGCACTGGAACACACCGCAAAGACTTCAGCCGTTGGCCAAGAAGCACATACGAACTGCGCATGCGTGAGTGGCAATAACTCTCCTTACCAGCAGGCGGCGGTAGTGTGTACTCATCATTCAAAAGAGGCAACAACCGGAAGACAGACTGCGTGATAACCGAGAGAAGAAGAACAGACTGCGTGATATAAACAAACAATAGTATGTGCGTTCCATTTTCACTCTACAACGAGAAGCTCATGGGGCTTTCCCGACCCTGTGTCGAGAGCTGGAGTTAAATGAAATCTCAAATTTGCCTTCTTAATAGTTTGTTTGGGTCCCTCACTTCCATTTCACTTCTCATGCACTGATTCACTAGCTGAACAGCCAATCAGAGTGATTTGTTTTGCCGACTGCCTTTGGCCGAAAAGGCGTCGGCAAGGTTGAAAAGCCCCGACGGTGCGGGACACACCAATCTGAGTAGGGCGTGTCGACACTTATCGTCGGCCTGACGCTGATAATCGGCCTGGTGTGTCCGTGCCTTTAGGGATATTCTTTGGATTGTTATTAACAATTCAGTCAATAAAAATTTCAGAAATTAGTGAATCTGGTACTTTTTAATTAAAAAAAAAAACATACAAAATTAATTGATTAGTTAAAATTGAATTCAAATTGTTCTTAAATGTCCAGTAATTGTTAAATCGACAACATTTTTCAACAGTTTTTGTGTTGAAAACCAAGCTATGAAAATACCATGCAAGAAATATACTGTATCTAAACACATTTATGGAAACAACACTTATTTGACTGCATAGATAGTCTTGTGATTTATATGTATGTAAAAGAACGACTGAAAAATATTGTTCATCTTAAAGGGGAGAAGTAATAACTCTTTAAACTTGTCATTATGGGAGTCCATTATAACCAAATCAATTCAACATGGACTGAACAGCTATTCTTCCATGGAGAAGCTTTTAACTTTATTCATAAAGGAAGTTTTCAGAATAAACTGAAGACCCTGAAAAGCTATTTTCTCAATCAGCATCTCATTGCAATTACGGGTTTATTTCAGTGTTTTTCTTTTTGTATTGGTTCCCGTTGTTTATATTGCAGCGCCACTGTCAATTATATCCGCTCAGATGAGTTTTGGGTTAACTCTTACTAAATAACACTGAAGATTGATTTTTAACTTTGGTGTTGCTTAATTAGTCGTGACGATTAATGTTTTTGAGAAATAATAAATATTCAAAAACCTGTTTATAGGAATTTGTTGCCTTTATTGTCTGATGCTGGAAAAAAGGTTTAAACATTAAACCTTTGAAACACAAGGCATCTTCTGTGAAAGGATGCAGTGAATAAATAATGGTGTAATATTGCATCACAATCCATAGAGGTCCACCATGGCTGATAAAAGCTAATTTTTCCCATTTCAGATGACAATTCTGCAAAATTGCTTGTCATTTTGAATGAATATCATGCAGAATACATTTCTCATACCAACAATACTCGCTCAGCCTATATACCTGGCATAATTCATCTTTATTTGCTGCAATAGAAATGTGTTTATTTGGCCTTCACCGACATTGTAAAGCTGTTATTATTTTGTACGGCACTTATGCATCTGTTTCTGCCTCTTCGCTTGCCGCTGCTGTTCTTGTAGCGCCTGTTGTGTCTTTATGTCGCTGCCGTTTACTTTGCTGTATTTAAAGATCTGCCACTGTTTCGAGCGGCCCTGTTGACAGGTAACAAAGCCACAGGCTGAGGGGGGTCCACACAGGACCGGCAGTCCTTTAGGAGCGGAGTCGAGTAGTGCTGCTATGGGGTTTATTAGACCTCTTTATGAGGAACACAAACACACAGCAGCCACCTAACAACACCGCCGTCCGTTATAGATCTCACATATTTTCAGATCTAATTAGCACCTTTACGAAACCTTTTATGTCGTGAAATTGTGAATAGAACAACATTGACTAAGTCGGAGAAAACTACATGTCAAGCAGCTTACCAGCAGAGAGGAAAAGGGTTGTCTTAACCTTGGGAAATATTTCCTTAACAGTACAGAGTTAATATTGATTGTTACCCAGAGCTTATTATTCATTGTTGGTTTTGTAAACGTTACAAGTGTCTTTCTACTCAGTCGTGTCAGAATACAAATATGTCTAAGATGTAGAGCGCAACATGACCTATGCTTTATATAAATCCATTCTTTATCGTCATATTCTCAAGTAGCTTTGGGTATTTTGTACAAATATGACAACAAATGTTTACCCTGTCTCCCCTGATGCTCTTCACAAGAGAGAAAGGAACACACGTCTCGCTACCTAGACTTGTGAAATAACAGCTGGGATGCAATATAGACTGAAATGAAGAGTGTTTCTCATTCACCTTGAATCTTGGCTCACATCCCAGATATAAACACGTAAAAAAGCAGAGACAAAACTTGGTAGAAGTAGGAGTAGCCCATATGCTCATGCATAATCATAATATTCAATATCCTAATCTAAGAGATTATCGTACAATCGAACACTGACAAGGACACAAAAGTATTCCCATTATGGTAGCACAGTGTATTATCTCATGTTAATCTTGCCACTTTCTGAGCTTAATGACTTGTGTAAAAGCCAAGAAGTCAAGGACAGATGGAATCACGTGATACTTAAAGCAAAAGCTGATCTCCTTGTGATGTCAGATACCTTCACTTCAAATGTCAAAAGAGGTTAGTATACAGGATGTCCTGAAATGGGTAACTGACAAAAACACGAATCTGAGGACAGAAACTGTCTTTTTGTCTCCTCAAGGGACTTAAAGGAAAACTACTAATATAGTCGAGTATTTTTGCGGTCAATGGGCGGAGAAGTTTTATTTAAAATTCAAACTAATATAAGAACAATGAATATTGAAATGTAATTGTCAGTATAGATTTAGTGTATATGCATAAAAGGCAGTGCATGTAGCTTTAATGGCGACTGATTATTTTATAAATATGAACAAATAAATTACATGTTTGTGCAAACTTGTTCTATGTATACCGTTAATGATTAAATGGCTCTACAACGTCAACAAGACTTTGACATGCACTTCGGTTAATTACTTGATTTTCTCTATTATTTTTAAATGTTGGTCATCACATGTCATCTATTTGTTTCCTGCTTTTTGTCTTTTTGTTTACTTAGTTGTGTTCTCTGTATTTTATATGTCTGTGTTATGTGTAATAATGTGTAACGTTGCTGCCTTGTTGACCAGGTCAGCATTGTAAATGAGATTTTATCTCAATGCTTTTTATCTGGTTAAATAAAGGTTAAATACAAATAAAATTATACCTTAAATGACAGTGTGTATGAGGAAGTGAAAGAAACAATGTCTACAATATGCATTCAACTGCGGCTGCAGAATTATTGGTGTGAAGCAGAATACAAAAATAAGTAGTAAGAATTAGAGCCAAATGCTTTTCTTCTTAAGCAATCCCAGTGTGTTTGCATAATTCATGCTGACTTCACAGATTCCAGAAGACATGGTTAACATTGTGTCTGAGGCAGCAGCACTTACGTCGAACTTCTCTGAAGTAGATGGTTTGTCTGTTGGGATTGAGCAGCTGGATAACGGAGTCGTCGTTGTTCTTCACTCTGCAGCTTATAGTGGCTGTTTCCCCCTCGATCACCGACACGTTGTCGGTTGCCAGGTTCTGACCATCGACTTCACAACACAGACAGAAAAATGTTATTTCAGATGAGGCAAACGTTCCTTTTTGCATATGAATATCCTATCAAATATTTACAGTTCTTACAACAGGGATCGCAACATGTCCTCCAACTCAAACGACCAAATAGGTTGATTGTTCAGCAGCTTAGTGTTAGAAACAACAATTTGCAGCAATTGCAAACGCTCCCGAGGGTCGTATATTCGCTGCAACAAGTCCTCCAACTCATACGACCAAATGGGTCGATTGTTTAAGCCCTTATTACGACCAAATATGTCGTTTGTTCAAGCGCTTAATACGACCTATAATTACGTTTGAAAGTTGTCGGCCTCTAGTGCTCCCGTTGAATGCAAACGTTACAGATGTTCGTTTATTCACAAATAACCCTCTCTGTAAAATCCTAAATTGTAGGATAGTTTGGCCATTAAAACGCTTTATGATTAGATTTCTAGCGAGAAGTATATATTGTACTTTTAGAATCCACGTCCAGTCGTTATGTAGGATCTATAGTTTGATAGATATTACGAAGATGATTTGAGGTTTCGTCAGGAGAACGTGTATATGCGGCAAGCTTCCATGTAAAGTTACGGGTTGAAAACAGTATTTCCGGTCTCGACGTTTTCATAATAAAACCAATGATCAAATGATTTAACAGTGATATCTGCAGTACTCATCCACTAAAAAACATCAGTTTATCCTAGTTAATTATACGACATTAATTGGTTTAAATTGTGTACAATGCTTTTGTGTTTTTCCCATAGGGTTTTCTCATTCGATTCTGAGAGACACATTTCTTTTTTCAGAGGTTTTGGTAGGCTAAAATCACGCCGCAATGCACGTCGGGATATGGTGTTTATGTGATATGAAATCGGAAAACATTTAAAAAAAATAAAATAATACTTTATTCCGAGTGTTCTTGCTTTTCTCTTTGAAAGTCATCACATAACGGCATTGTAATACACGGTTCGGCTGCATTAAATATTACATATCTGCCGTAGATATGTATTTATTTACTGTAAAGTCCACTGAGACAAATGTAACATTTGTGATATTGGGCTATATAAATAAACATTGATTGATTGATTATAGAGCCCTGATCAGAAGACCTTTTGACAAACTGGAAGAGATGCCGCCAAAACTGAATACGTGACGTGGACCATAAAATATCAACAATTAAACAACATCTTCCATTTCTTTTCACACAATACGTCTCCTTGCAGTATCAACACTAATTCGGCTGACTTTTATATTTGATCCAATAAGTAGATAGTCTGTATTTACACCATAACGGTGCACAGCTGATAGAAAGGGATTTTTTTTGTAGTTTTTAAAGATATTACTGATTTTCTGAACTACCTTTCCAACTCCTCATGCAGTTGACTGTTACAGGTCTATACAAGTTTATGGTACAATGCATAAGCTTCACATTGAGAGACTGAAACTGTATTTTCCTTTACCGTTCTGTTTTAATTTCACAATAAAGTGAATAGTCATATTATGTTTGATATTATTATGTTTTATTAACTAGACCACTGGTCTAAACCGTACCTCCTAGTGGTTAAAGCACGTTATTGAATTTAGTTGTTGAATAAGTTTAATTTTTATGAAAACATTTAAATATTAAGAGTAGCCTACATACAAAATAGGGGTCAATGATAGAAATATAGAATAGAAAATATCAAGAAGATACTGTAGTGATCTCTACAATAAAACAGTTTAGTGCAGGACGTCCAAAGATATTAACAGGTGGATGTGCAAAACAGACAAACTGATAAGGCTGAATTTTACTCAGGTGTAACGAAAGTCTGATTTAAGGGTTGTTTATATTTCACATCATTAATCAGAATCTGTAAAGTAACAAAAATAAATGTAGTAGAGTAAAAATACCAGGTTGACCTCTGAATTGTAGTGGAGTAGAACAAAGTAGTACATGCTGCTGTAACAAAAACATTTCCCAACTTGGGATCAATAAAGTATCTTATCTTAAGATGATCGATGGCTACTGCCATATTTGCTAAATGTGCATCTGAACCTTGACAAGTGCATGTTTCAGGCTTATCAATTAACAACAGGAGGGGTCACAGACATAAGACCAGCTGTTAAATAAAGCTCTTCTGACCTTAGCTGTCATGTGGGTATATTAATGCTGCCCATTATGGGCACAAGCAATTTTCACCCATGTATTAATTATATGTTTTAAATTTGATAACACCAATGTGTTTCGTATCCCCTAAACCTCCAGGGATGTATACAGTTTAATACTGGCAACTTCTAATTGTGGGAAATACGAAAACGTCTTATAAAACTACAATTCCCAGTAGAGACGTGCCATAGAACATATTGCGAAACACACAATAGCCAGCATGTGTAATTCTGGGGGGGAGGGCTGGGCTGGACCCGTCCAAGTCCAGTTTTGGATAGTCTGGCGTGGTTCCATTCCATTTCAAAGAGCTGTTTGACATTCGGTGTAACCTTGTCGCACTGCCACTCCAACATCAGAGCTTGAGGGCTAATCACGGGGTTTGTAAAGCAAGGCGGATGTTGTAGTCCCAAACGATAGCTGGGGATTCTGGGTAGTGTAGTGTCTTCGGAAACTCTGTAGTGTCTAAACTCCGAAAAAACTATTTGTTTCTCCGAATCGAAGGTTAAAAACACAAAAGCATTGTACACAATTTAAACCAATCAATATTGTGTAATTAACAAGGATAAACTGATGTTTTTAAGTGGATGAGTAATGGAGATCATTTGACAGTGTGGGGAATACTTCCGGTTTTATTATGAAAACTTCGAGACCGGAAATACTGTTTTCACCCATGCTAACTTTACATGGAAGCTGCCCCATATACAGTACACGTTATCCTGGCGAGACCTCAAATTATCTTCGTATATCTATCAAACTGTAGATCCTACACATCCACTGGACGTAGATTATAAAAGTACAATATACACTTCTCGCTAGAAATCTAATAAAAAAGCATTTTAATGGCCTAACTATTCCACAATTTAGGATTTTCCAGAGGGTAATTTGTGAATAAACGACCCTCCGGAGCGTTTGCAATCGAGAAGGAGCATGTTGTTTCTTACACGACCACTAGAGGTGCTACACTTTAAAACGTGACTCTGGGTCGTATTTAGCTGCTGAACAATCGACCTATATGGTCGTTTTTTGTAGGAGGACAGGCTGATTCCCAAATAACCCTCTGGAAAATCCTAAATCGTAGAATAGTTTGGCCATTAAAATGCTTTTTGATTAGATTTCTAGCGAGAAGTGTATTTTGTACTTTTAGAATCCACGTCCAGTGGATGTGTAGGATCTATAGTTTGATAGATATTACGAAGATTATTTTAGGTCTCGCCAGGAGAACGTGTATGCCTTTCCCCCTATGTAAAGTTAGCGTCACCCTCACCAACGTCGCCAACTTTACATGGACGCTGCCTATTTGGTCGATTGTTCAGCAGACCCCTCAGAGGACAGGCTGAGGGATTGATGTACACACAAACACAAATTGTTGAGATATGTGAATAGGCCACATAGACTGTTTGGTTACGGCCATGTCTAATCCTTTTAATATAAGAGCCATGTGCAATGTTTGTCACTATTGATCTCCCCAAGCTCAGAGTGCGCCCTGTGAGTCAGTGCCAGATGGGCTGTAAGCTCTGCTGCCCACGAAGGTAGCGAGAGAGGAGAGGGTAGGAAGGAAAATAAACAAAGAAAGAGTGTGGCAACTTGTAGATATGGGCCGAGAGGAGGAGGGGAGGAAGAGAGGGGGACTTAAAGAGAGAGCGAGAGAGAGAGAGAGGAGCCGGGCTGGATGCTGTTTATGGATGAGCTTTATCAGAGCCCTCCATCTGAGGATCTATGTGACCAATGTGTGCTCCGTGTGCTCAGCTGTTCTGTATCTCTAGGAATAAAAGTGCTGTAAGCATCTGAGTCACTCAAGACACCACAGACAGTCCTTCGACCTTGTTGTTGTAACTTATACCTCACACAAAGAGCCTGGCTTTGATCCCCACTCAGCTTTCAACAGGGACATAATCAAAAGTCACCTTGTTTTACATTTATCTCGCAGGAGCTAAAATAGCATAAGTATAACGGTGAATACGATTTGATGCCTCAGGTTCCCACCAGCGGAGGAACAGCACTCCCAGCCACGACCCCAAGAAAACATCAAAAGCACATTTGCATGCCCGACTTGTCAGACACCTGCATTGCATTCTGACATTTACAAAGTGGAAGAGAAAAAATAACTGGAAAAGACAGGCAAACTAATATGATTCAAAATGAACGCCAAGCTATAAGAAATTAACCTCCTGTGGAGAAAAAGCTCCTCAGACCTGTCTGATGTAATGAACTACCCATTGTATTCCACGCTGCTGACAGGGATCAGGTTCAGGACAAGAGTAAAGTCATTTAAAACAGATTATGTTATAAAAGTCCATTAAACAATTGTAATGCAGTTTATATTTACGATAGGCATTAACATAATGTAATGTTTAATTGTGAAATAGGATACAGACATAAAACAAATTAAATAGTAGGCCTACTACAGAACGCTATAGTAAACTTTAAGCTTCTAAAGGTGAATGATTGTATGGTTGGGGGAGAACAACCCATTTTTGTAATCAACCAACCCATTCAATGGCGAGATGGTGCATGAAATAGAGCTGGTGCATGAAAAAGGCAATACTTGTAAATCTTACCAGTACCAGATACATTCTGAGAATTTTGAAACGACGGACTTACAGCATCACTAATGCCAGTTAAGAATACTGATTCTTCGTCATTTCATAAAACTCATTATACTTCCAATGACAACTTTTTCTTGCTTTTTAAAACAAATGTTTATGGCAAACAATAGTTAAGGTTAGGGATAAAGTATGATAATGGCTGATTTATTTTAAAACACTAATTCATCATTCAATGCAGAGTGTTGGATAACAAGAGCAATAACACTTTCATATCTCTTTGTTGAATATATTTGTCGCCTACAGCCACCAGCCAGTTGGTTTAGCTACTTGACTAAGCTAACGGCTGCTGGCCCCCCATAAATAGGCAAAGCAGCCTTGTGTTCAGCCTATTTTTCAGCCGGCTGTTCCTTTTTACACTTCAGTGTTTGTTCAAATAGGGCAAATAACATATAATGTGTAAAATGAGCTGGTGGGCAGCTTTGTTATACCTTTGAACAGAGCCTGCTAACTGTATCCCCCTATGCTAATCTAACCATCTGCTCGCTCCACTGTAGCTACAGTAGCCTACATGTACACCAATATCACATTTTTATTTATCCAACCCTTTTTAAGAGAGCAAAACTTCCCAAAATATCAAACTTTTTTCCTTTTTGGGATTAGGCAAGTTTACTTGATAACCTTTCTGGTAATCCACAACATGTTTTCATCCATCCGGACTTCATCAGTGTCACAGTTAGTAAATTATTGAATTCAATATTATTGAGGGTGACCCTCATTTACTTTTCATAGACACTGTACTTGCATCTAGGGTAATATGCCATTTGGCCAGAGCACTGTGGATACCCGATAAATAGAATAATGATTGAAAATAAAACATTCAAGGTTAAGGGAAAGATTGAAGTTACAGTTAATACAATGGTGAACATTAATTGGAGGTCTGTGACAGGACATGAACTCAAGTTACATTACCGTACTTTAAGATTGATATATGGGGCACAATATTTCCGATTGTGGGTTTGACTGTAAATCTTAAGATGTATCGTTTAATATGGTAAGTCATTTGACTTCAAAATCAGTTTTCTGTTCATCTGAGATTTAGAGGGAATAATGAGGGAAGCAAACATAATAATTTACAAACTTTGCTATGTTATAAATGCATATAGTATAGGCTTTTAAACCATATATTAGTCGTTCAGCTTTTTCTCCGAATCATACCATTTCCTCATGGTCAGGTATTAGCATGGCCTAGAACTTGTTTATGAAACACCAAATTAGTAAATGGATGTAGGAATGAGAAGAGGGAGTGATTAGTTACTTCCTTGCTTCATAAAAAGAATGAATAAATAGAGATTAACCATGGGCATCAATTCAAATAAAAATATTTTTCATGTGGAGAGTTGAAGTGTGTAAGTTTGGAATGATATCAAGTGTGCTGGAGCTCCTCTGCTCATGTGCTAAGTGCTGCAGAGGATGAGGCGAAAGCAATGTGAAGTGTTTTGATGTCTATTTTATTTCATTGCTGTAAAAGTAATATACTTGGCAGTCAAAACAGCAACATTGAGCAGCCTCAAAGCAAGGTTATTCTGCTACCAATCTGTTGGACTGAGAGAAAGGGAATGTAATAGATAAATTCTCCATAAGGTTTAGCCGCCCCAAGCAAGGTTGGTCCCCCTCCAATATCCTGGCCTAGGCTCATCTCCAATTCAAAACACACATAAATAACGTCGCTGTGATTAGCAATCCCATCAAAGAGAAAACGGGGCACTTTGTGGAACATGGAGGGTTTTTGCAATTGGAGTAAACATTTTCAATTGCCTCTGCATCCTGGTCATGATTGGGTACAAATGAGGAGAGGCAGTCATTAATTCTGGGTAGTGGGTGGGGATGGAGGGGAGTGGGCAGAGGCATGGCACAGATGACTGGCTGATACATTCACACTCATTCCAGCAGCTGTCTGGAAGAGTAAAGTGCCTGTATCTCTACACATGGCTGCCCTCCTGTTCCCGCATCACAACATACTGAATGAAACAGTCAGAGTGAAATACAGACCTTCAAAAGTCTCTGCTCTCTCTGAGGGGCTGTACAATCTGGCATCAATAGTCTGGCATGGAGGCTCACCTCATCAGCCGCACTCAAAATGCAAAACAGCAACTATCCCCAACCAAATGTATGAAGTACACGAAAATCAGGAAATATTAGCAGACCGGCAGAAGTTCAGAGAAGGGTACCTTAGAATGAAGCTGGCTCCCTCTTTGAACTTTTCTCTCTTGTTTTCGCATCAAAAGACATGAAAGGGGTAGCAAAAAGCTGGACAGCCAGCATCCAATTCCTCTCTCTTGAGTCACCGCTGTCTGCAGCAGTCGTGACCTTTCAAAGAACAACCAGAACTATAGCCAGTCATTAACAATAACAAGTTCTGCCTCTGCTCCTCTGATGCAGCATGCCTTTACCCAGCTCAGTCATTAAACCCTGATCCTCATGATGAAATGCTGTTTTAAGAATATTCACAAGTGAGAAGTACTCAGTCTCAGTGTATAATTAGTGCTGTGCCATTCCTCCTAGACCCTTTGCATGGGAAGGTTTCAGAAATTTCAAATCCACTAATTTGACCATCTTTATTTTATTACCAAAGAAAAGATCTCTTAGAAGCTCAGTGGAACTGATTGTATAATGATGCTGCAACATGACTTGAAAATAAGGCTGTGGTGACATATGAAGAGGTATATATGTCAATGTTCTAAGTAAATGAAAGTATTGATACACTTTAATTATTGAGTACCACTTTATATTGTGGCATCCTTTATCAAGTGTTTGCAAATCCTAACTGAATCATTTTCTAAAGCTTCATGAATTAATTAAAAGCCATGTTCACTTTGCTTTCCGAGGTCTAAAATAAAGGATACATTTAAAGTTTGTGACTTTTAGAAATTGGTATCAGACTCACTACACGGTCTCCCTTTTCAATGTTTTACTTAGTTGCATTAGGAAAGGTTTCAAGCTGACATTTGTCTGGTACAGATGAATTAACCTTACAAACCCCTAATCAATAAAGTAAAAATATTTCAGGGCAGGGCAGTTAAAAGTGTCATGTTGGACTTACTGTAGCATCTGGACAGGTAAGATAAAGTGTTGTTATCATTGATTATTTGTTAGAAAATGGTTGTTGCTATGTGTTTTTTGGGCTTCAGTGAAACCAGCTTAAACCAGGGAACTGCTGTCAATAACTCACTGATACCTTACATCATGTTGGAACCAAGATAACATGAAAAGCTGAAGGCTTAGCCCAGCTCTTCTACAAGGGAGTTAGTTTGTAGCTGGACAATCACAGAAAAGAGGAGAGAGCTGCATAACTCACAACTCATGTTCCTGAGGAGGAAAACATGTGTTGCACATACTGTATAGTGTATACATGTATATTAATGGACAAACATGTCTACATTTCTGTACTTACATTTGTCCAAGCGTTTTTTCTACTGAACAATTATTATTATTATACATATTTACTTATTTTCTCTATATTTATTGAAAATGCTTATGGTAGTGAATATATTAAACATAAAACCTGCAACTTACTTGTACACATTGTCACTGTGTGTTAGCATAAACATTTAGCTCAAAGCTCTGATTTCATGTTCACAGAGCTGCTAACATGGAAAGTCTTGTTTTCGAGATCGTTTTCACCAGTTGTGTTTTATTTTCGGTGTTGATATAATTTCATTTGGTAAAGTGCACCTCCGAGCATTGCAGATCTCAGTAAAAAGTTCATTAAAAAACAGACCAACTTAAGTGGCAACCAAGTGGTCTGAAACAAATGGAAATCTGCCGTTACATGTGGCGAAATGTTGATTTGAGAATTAAGAATAAAAGGAGTGGATCTGCATTGTGAGTGCATGGCTCTCTCCTCCTCGCCTGAAAAGAAAACACGACCATAACAAACCACTCATGTCAATATTCACAGACAAACAGACTGCAATGGACAGCCAATACACACACACACACACACACACCCACACACACACACACACACACACACACACACACACACACACACACACCACACACACACACACACACACACACACACACACACACACACACACACACACACACACACACACACACACACACACACACACACACACACACACACACACACACACACACACACACACACACACACACACACACACATCCAATGAACAGCAGGTAGCAGTAAAAAGAAAGAGTACCTGTCACGGTTTCAGCAGCTCCTGGTGCAGCACAGGAAGAGGATGAGTGTGGAAGAGAAGAGGAGAAAACAGAAAAGAAGTTGTGAGCAGAGAGTTATATTACACTGGTAAAATACTTTTTCATTGGTGATAAATACCGCTGTTAAATTGTATCAAAGCTTCATATCATTTTTTTTCTATTTATCACCTGTAAAGAGAAATACAAAAGGGATCATAATGAGTATTTATTTTAAGTTCTATTTTTCCACAGGTGTTAACAATCCCAGACACAATGAGCGATTTTGCGTCCATTCATCCAGCGCTATATTAATATGGAGGAAAAGAGGGGATATATGAACCTTTTGTTTCTCCCCCCCCCCTTGTGTCTCTTATTGAGATTCCAGCCATGCCTCCCTGGAGCAGCCACTGGCTCCCCCAGGACCCTGCCGTGTATCCTGGAGAAGAGAGCACCCATTCGGAACGGTGCCCACCCAAACTGGCATCTCACAGGGCATGGGAGACTGGCGTGTTCCCAAGTCCCCGCAGCAGTGCTCAGGGCCTGCACCCTCGGGAGAGCTTCCATCATTCATTGTCTGCTATTCATAAGCAACACCCATCCTCTCTCTTTCTCTCGTTCACACACATCCTTGCCCTCTGCTGTACATCCATATCTAAAAAAAAGAATTATAGTTTGCACACCATATTCTATTTTATTGACATTTCACACACACTTTGCAGCTTCTTTACTCTGAGCAATGGGGGCTCTGGTGAAAAGCGTACAGTATGTTAAAGTGAATACTTGTCTCACTTGTCATTGCCGGCTTAATAAGGGTGTAAGGTATGACACATGTCCTTATTATACTCCTTTGTGCATTCTCAATGTGTCAGCAATTCCCCCAGGACAAAAGAGGTTTGAGTGACAAATCTTACATGATGAGGACATTTTCGCGAACATTGTCCAGGAGGCCATGCCACTGTGAAAAACTTCAGGTGTCATTCAAAATGTTGTCTTTATTATGCGATACTTCAGCATAATGAGGCTTCTGGGGCAATTCTGCTTCAGCTGAGAGTGATCTGAACAAAACGAGGCCGCGAGCGTGATAGCCAGACTCAAACTCGAGCTTGAATGAGCACACCGTATGCGTCCCGGTCTAACCAGCCCTCAGGACAGCCCATAATGAGGCTTTTGAGCTGCTTTAATTGCCAGGTAATTATAATGTTGTAGCAACATTATGTAAATGACTCATTATCACCTTGTATGTGTAGTATATCTGCCCTCATTTTACTTTACAAGAGAGTAACCCAGAAAAATGCATCACCCTGTCAACAGAGACCTATATCTTAACCGAGAGACTTGTGATGTAGTGCGGTGACACCTTCCTAACCCTTCAGGATGATCCACTTCCTGCTGGTGGCCTCTGAAGGGGCTATACATAGCGTTGTGGTGTGTCTGCCGCACTCGCCTTCGCTCCTCTGTACCTGCAGCACATTAGATAGAAGTTATGAGGTGCCAGCTCGCTTGTGATTAGATGTCATGGCTGTCGCTCTGCTTAGACAGTGCTGATAGACAGATTTCTAGAGAAATGCGTGTGATGGCATTCGTGCGGGTGCTGCCGTTGCACCAATCTGTCAATCACGCTGGAGCAGAGCAGGCAGGCCAACCATCCTCCAAATAATCTCTGTCCTTGTCTCCTCGCCTCTTCTCCTTTTCATCCCGAGCGTTATGTTAGAAAACAGAAAAAGTGGAACATTTCCCCGCTCTCCTCCTAGATTGATGTTACATTTCCTGCTGGAAACACTCTCATTGTGAACATTTGAAAGGGTGTATTTTTGCACTACATTATGTTTTCTGTAAGACGCAGGATCCAGGTGCTCCGTCATTCAGGCATCTGTGTTTAACCCGTTGCCACCCCAACAAATTCAGAATAAACTGCACTTTTTGAGTCACTGAGGCAAACTAAGATCTCAGGAGACAGGCCGCCTGTGTGGTAAAAGTGGCATATAGTCTTCCCCCCATGTCTCTCTCTCTGTGGCTGCTGCTCAGTAAAAGCAGTGGGGTAACACTAATGAGGCAACATTTCTTCTCGGTACTAGTGTGATGCCTTTGAATTAATGTTCTTCCTTTCAGGTAAAACATTCCCTTGCTTATTTATGCTCATGATCTGCAGCGTGTTGCATGTCAAACTAGTGTGTGATCGCACTGCATAAGAGGACATAACAGAGCTGCGTGCTGGAACTCTGTGTACTTCCCCGTAGAGATCCACATGGGCTGCCATTGTGTGTGTGTGTGTGTGTGTGTGTGTGTGTGTGTGTGTGTGTGTGTGTGTGTGTGTGTGTGTGTGTGTGTGTGTGTGTGTGTGTGTGTGTGTGTGTGTGTGTGTGTGTGTGTGTGTGTGTGTAATGATGCTGTCTCACTGTGTGGAGCCCACTGTGTTTTCATTTAATTAGAGGGTTCAGAGGTAGGCTTCAAACTTTTTTCTCTTCAAGGAAATCGGATGAAGCAGTGAGCTCCTGCAGAGTGGACCCAGTAAACACGGACGACTTGTAAGGTCAGGATTTTCACAAAAGAAACCCATCAAAGAGTTTCGGCTGTCCTCGCAAAAAGATAAAAAATGGTGCCCGATACCCCCTGGAATTTGTTGTTTCCATATTCAGTTGTAAATGCACATTAAATAATTCATTCATTACCTATACTGTAGATCAACCCAGTCTCATGGCATTTCGTGTTCACCAACACGATTTTTAATCTATTGATTCGTGTTCACCAACACGATTTTCCCCTTTTTTTCGTGTTGCACAGCACGATTTTAAAAGCAATGTATTTCTACTGGTAATGACGCTCATGGAAGCACGGCATTCGTTTGTGTCGGCTGCCCTTAAAGGCAATGTGAGCGTCCATTCTCATTGGATAACGGAGAATTGTACACCCGGAAGTAAGTATTCCCCTTACTGTCGATTGAGTTTACAGTGTTATCTGCACTACTCATCGACTAAAAAACACCAGATTATCCTTGTTAATTACACAACATTGATTGGTTTAAATTGTGTGCAATGCTTTTGTATTTTTCCCCTTCGATTCGGAGAAACAAATATTTTTTCGGAGTAAAGGATAGCAGAAGACACTACACTACCCAGAATCCCCAGCTATCGTTTAGGACTACACCATGTGCTCTGTTTGACAAACCCCGTGATAGTCCTCAAGCTCTGTGATTGGAGAGTGTGCTCCGAGGGTTACGCCGAGCCTCGAACAGCACTTGAAATGGGATGGAACCACGGCAGACTGTCCAAAACTGGATTTGAACGGGTCCACCGCGTCCCCCCTTCCCCCACCCCGTCCCCAGAACTACACATGCTGGCTATTCTGTTTCGCAACATGTTCTCTATCTATGGCACGTCTCTACTGGGAGTTGTAGTTTTAAAAGACGTTTTCGTATTTCCCATAATAAGAAGTTGCCAGTATTAAACTGTGTACATCCCTGGAGATTTAGGGGATAGGAAACACTCACATTTAAAACATATAATTAATAAATGGGTAAAAATTGCTTGTGCCCATAATGGGCAGCATTAATATATATACACACATGCCAGCTAAGGTCAGAAGAGCTTTATTTAACAGCTGGTCTTATGTTTGTGACCCCTGTTGTTAATTGATAACATTACATTACATTAATTGATAAGCCTGAAACATGCACTTGTTAAGGTTCAGAGGCAAATTTTGCAAATATGGCAGTAGCCATCGATCAGCTTAAGATAATATGTACTTTATTGATCCCAAGTTGGAACATTTGCGTTACATCAGCATGTGTAACAGTTAAATATGCAGTGGTGTTTATTTGTAAATCATTTAGTATAATCACACAAATTCTGTGTTTTATATTTAACAATTCTGTGTTCTTTATTTATTGATTGTTCAATACCTGACAAGGCCGGAGATGAAATATCTACATACATCTTATAAGAGTATAATACATTATGTATAATATCAGTTAAAATAAGTGCTTCAACATAGTTAACATTGCTGGAGGTATGCACAAATATTGATAGATGTCTTGTAATGCACTATTGAGGAACCTGCGACCCAAGTTTTTCATTCAATGCAGAACTACACCATAGTTGTGTGGGCCTATATGATATGTCAATAAACCTTAGAAAATCTTGAAAGGGATGTGCAAAATAGTCATTATATACAGTCTTTAATTAACTATTAGTAGAGAATAACGAGTAATGAATATACTTTATAGGGATCCTATTAATATCTAATAATAAAATAATGAAATTCAATAACATGCTTTAACCACTAGGTGTCCCTTTATATCAGCTGTGCACCTTTATGGTGTAAATACAGCCTATCTACCAATTGAATCAAATATAAAAGTCAGCCGAATTAGTGTTGATACTGCAAGGAGACGTATTGTGTGAAAAGAAATGTAAGATGTTGTTTAATGGCTGATATATGTATGATCCACGTCACGTTTTTAGTTTTAACGTAGGCTATCTTTAGATGCGGATTTTGTTAAACTAATATGTTTGCGCTGTGGACCAACACTATACATTGACGGGGAAGGGGGTAGAAATAAAGATAACACCATTAAACAGTTACACAACATAACAGAAATAATGTCGATATGAAATGAATGAAAAAAACTAAAGATCATGTACATCCACTGCACACATAATCTGAAATAACAACTCATATTTCTCGCATCAAATGACATCAAAACGCATTTTAATGGCCAAACTAACATATTAAAATAGGCATTTTCCACCGAGAATAAAACGAAGTTCGGCCATGTTTTTTTTTTCTGCAGGGAGAAATGTTAAGATCACGTGACATAGACGCCAGCCATTGGAATGAATGGTGAAAAAAAACGGGTTTGTCAAACAGAGCACATGGTGTAGTCCAAACGATAGCTGGGGATTCTGGGTAGTGTAGTGTCTTCTGCCATCCTTTACTCCGAAAAAATATTTGTTTCTCCGAATCGAAGGGGAAAAATACAAAATCATTGCACACAATTTAAACCAATCAATGTTGTGTAATTAAA